TGTTCGAATTGAGCATATTAGCAAGTGAAGAGGGCTGTAGTTTAAACTCCATTCTCCAAATACAAGGTAATGTGGAAATTTATATGAAAGATGCTTCTTAAAATGAAATTATAAACTGGAGACTGGATAAGTCAGGTAGATACTAATTATCACTAGCATCTATTTATATTTTATATTGATTAATTACCTTACCATGAATTTTCCATGACATGGAGCATTCTAACAGGACAAGATATTGATCCAAACAATCCTTTTTCGAAAGGATGTTTAAGAAGTCTAAGCAAAGATGGTGGAACTGGTACATGAGGAACCATAGAATAGACAAAAACTTTCTAGTCTGCCAAAGAAAAGGAAAGATGAGTGGATTGAAGAAAGTGATTGTCTCTACTCTGGATGTGATAACTGAACTCCTTTGAATGAAACTAGCAGGTGTTGGGTTTAAAACAGACCTACTATATAGCATGCTTTTGTGTTTTGGGATTCTTTGCCACAGTACTTGGTGATTTACCAAAAAGCTTACAGTTGCAAAAAGCTTTAGGAAGATAAGTGAAGATAAATCCTTTAACACCTATTAATTGGACATATTCTACAGCTTGTTTTGGACATCTCTGGGCATGAAGTCTCTGAAAGTTGAAGGAGTATTCTGGAGAGGTACTCCTATACACTTGTGCTCCTATACTCTTAGTTGCTCATTCGTGGTGACAGACTAGTTACTGTGATGGGCCTCTCTGTGGTGTGCTCATGCTGTGTTTTTTTCTCAGACTGGAACTCTGAGTCTCAGTTTTGACAGTGCTTGAGATTGTGCCTAGGAAGTCAGAGCTCTTGCCTGATTGAAAAGGCAAAATTTGGAGGAGCAGTCAACATAGTCCACTTCCATGATGTTCATATGTTGTTGTCTTTCTCTTTTTCTGCCACAGATTGCTTGGATAATTTGGGAATAAAACCCTTAAAATCTCTTTTCAGCTAAACTATCTACTCTTCGTAATGCAGTAGAAATGGAGTTGCTTAAAGTTGTTTTATTCATTGTTTGGAAGCCCTTGTGTTTGAGCCGTTATTTGAGTGTGAAATGTGGTGGTTTAATACCTAACCCTGGTTCAATTTCATGGCTTCAGTTATTCTGAGTACTTAAAAAAATAATCATGTATTTTATTTACTTTATCAACAAATACAATAGCATGAGGTATTACCCTCCCTAAATGCTGAAGTATCCAAGGTGTGGGAGGCAGCTTAGATGTATCATTGACTAGACCATAATCAGTCTAGTCATACAACAGAATTTGTATTCTTACAGTGATTGTCTAATTCAAGAAGTTTGGGGAGTGCAGTATAAAGAATGTCTTTGATGTCAGCTGCAGAGGAGATCCAGCATTTGCAGGGCAATGGGATATTTGTGATGTTAACAATATAAATGATTTTTATTGATAATGACAGATGGTTCTTAGATAATGTGCTCTGAGTTGTCTGTAATATGTTGGGAATAAGTTTTCTGGAAGGTTATACATCTGTCTTGAGATCTTTTGCTAAAATATTTAAATCAAGGTCATTGTTTATATTTGATTTTAAATAGCTTTTAGCTGGTAGTCTGCATTTCTGCACATTTAGAGATCAAACTGTTTGTAACTTCAAAAGCTACAAATGGAAAAGTATAATAGGTAGCAGGTGTTAGGAAAGGCAATTATGCATTAGCTGTTTTACTCAATTTCTAAAACTGTCTAAAACTATCCATTGGAAACACTTTGTACCTAGACTTATCTCTGAAGCATGATGGATTTTTAAATCTCTAGGGGGATATGCATTTTTTCTCTAATGAATTGCATATTTAAACCTATTTGGTTTAATTTAAAAGAGCTCAAGAGAATTGTATTCGTGAAAAAAAAAAACGTTAAACAGAAAAATCACAAGACAAAGTCCAGGTTCTTATATACTTCCAGACAATTTCTCTGCAATTCCTCAGAAGTATTTTCAATTTCCAGTGTTGCAGGTCTGGGCACTTATTTTTTTTTTTTTTTAAGGTACTTATCTTGACTTTCTGTGTATGGAAATTATCTTATAATAGAATGAATTCTTAGGTTTAAAATCATCATCTTAGGTTATTGTCAGGAAAATAAAGAATGCTTGGATATAATTTGACTGCCTATGCAAAATTGGTTTGTGCATCAATGTAAGAGACAGCAAAATAGTGTTTTGCCAACAGCTACTGCAAATTGACTTTGAAAGTTAAAATCTACTTACAGATAGAGATCTTTGAGCCTATCCCCTTCTCCTCTATGCTTTTCAAGAACTTACATAATGGTGGAGGAGTGAGGAGATGAAAGGAGAATCAGCAAATACTATTACCAAACCAAGTTCCTTTCAGTTCCCTCTTTCTTGCTTAGTTCATGTGATTAAAGAAATGTAAACCTTTCTTGTATTCATGTAGAGTAACAAATAATCCAATGCATAAAAAATCCTGATTAATAATTATTATTTTAAATGAAATTTTTCTGCGTATAGCTCTTCAGTCTTCCTACTTCTTCTTCTGCAAAAATGGTCTTACTTTTTCTTATCTACCTTCAGTACTGTTTCTGTACTTCTGTGTAACTGTTCAGCAATCTGAATCCAGCTTTATTTGCCTTTAGCCCATAACCATAATTTTTCTTCTTCCCTGCTTTTCTGTTTGATAAAAAATTCTCAGGCTGGTGCAATGATTTTCACTTACCCATTTTTTGAATTAGATCATACACAGATCATAGTTCACTGGGTCATGGTGAACTGAGCTGGTTCTTCCTATGGCAAAGTCTTCACCAGTGAGAGCTCACACTTCAGGATGGCCTTATGGAAAATGTGTCCGTGTTTTCTTGTACAGAATGTTGACTTAAACACAAACTGTTTTCATTGGACATTTCTACCCTGTTTGCCTTCAAGATTTGAAGAAAAGTTGTCACTTTTATGAGATTATGTTGTGTATCCCAAAAAGAATAGAAACTTTATGTGTAGTTAAAGGCTCCTGCTTGAAAGGACATCTTTAAAGTTCATGTTGGAAATGAGATATAGGCTGCAGTTCAAGCTGAGAAAAAACAGGCCACAAGTACTGGTTTTATACTTAATTTTTTAAATTTCAAAATATTTTTCTCATTTTAGAGATGCACATGTTATAAAATATTATCAAAGGCTGAATTTAGAAAAATGCTGCATGTCCTGTAAATTTATTTACATATGGTAGGAAGTATTGTAGGAAGATGTTTGTTTTCTTAGAATTAGGTTTTTGCATTTTTCAGAGTTGTGTTTCATTATTTAAATATTGCCACAATAGTATCTGACATGAGAAGTGGAAGCAGCACTTTGCTTACAATTATGTCTTCTTCAGACACCATTTTATGCTTTTATATGTGTTAACTTTCCATCCCAAGAGAAATGCCAACACCAAAGTGGTAGACTCCACAAAAAGTGGATTTTTCAGAATGGTACCGAGGACATGATTCTGTAAAATGCTAATTTTAGCATTGTAATTGGACTTTACCTAGATTTTTCTGATTAAGACAAACTCTAGAGAGAGTCTAGTTGAAATTACCCTATGCTTTCTCTGTCCTGGGATTTTACAATGTTATTCAAGTAATTTTATTCAAGTAGAGTGTTCTCCTAGAGCAGGAAACGTATCACAGGATTTTATAATCCAAATCTTTCTTCTCTGCTTCCAAAATAAGCTAATTCTTACTTTCAGCTACAAATGCACTTTTAAACTTAAAGCTTCCTTTCAAATAATTGGCATTATCTCTTTGCTTGATTCTTACCAATTTGATGGGACAGAATGGTCTGCTGCTAACGAGGTGTTCGTACGCACCTCTTGGAGCTCACTGTGTTCTTCAATCAGCCAAGGGTAAAGGAGAACGAGAAGTAGGAGGAGGATAGTATTTTTCTTTCTCCACTTGTGATAGTAGTGAAGTTAATTAATTGCACACATTTTAAATTCTATGTTCTTCTAGATACAGTAACAATAGAATAGGTATTTTAACACATCATGTTTTACATAAGTTGTTTCACCTCCCTATACTTGAGCAGAACTCTGCATTTTTCTGAAGTATAACCAGCAGTTTTGAAATGACCAGTAGAAAATCTGAAAAAAACTTGCTATGTTTTTAGAGCACTATAATTAGATCTTATAAATTATATAGATATCAGCATTTAAATATAGCTACATTTGTCAGATCATGTAGTTTAATTTTATAATTATTATTTTCAAATCTTATTTTAATGAGATTTTATGTAGCATTAGTTCACAGTCATCACATTGATAATTAAACATAATTATTTTTTCAGTTCTCAGTGGTGTAGGAGATAAAATCGAAGATTAATTTGGTAATATGAGAAAACTTAGTGAAGATTTTAAAAATAGGATCACAAATTTTTATAAACTCTTAGGTATACTTATAAAAGACTAATTTCTAGGGGGAGTTTTATAAAGTGAGGGAATCTGCTGACTTGAACTAGAACAGAATCTGAATACTAAACTGAGTTGTAAATGTTTTGTTACAATGAGTAGATTTTTTCCTTTTAGTGAAAACCTCTAATTCATTCGAATATAGACCAAGTGTTTATTTTAAAAATACTTAATTATTTCCTATAGCAGAATTTACAATTCAGAAGCTACTACTAGTAGTAGAGTTTGCTCTGAGTAATGGAGATGAAGCACATGTTCATGCCACAATGCTGAGCTGGACAGTAGAGTATTTCATGCCAGATATAAGCTAATGGATAACACCAGAAATGGCAAACACATCAATAAGGAATGGATTTAAATATGAGCAGGGATGTGTACCTCAGTTCCCTTCCCGTCACAGAGAATAGCTATGAATAGGTTTGGCATAGATGAAATGCAAACATGTTTGTGATACAAAGAGAGACAGATGTAGCTGACATTTGTAGTTAGCAGTGAATGTCATAGCAATACACTTGGGGTATGTGCTGATCAAAAGTATTATCATTTGTGTATTGAAAGGATGATATATTTTTATTTTTTCTAGTCTGAACCAGAGGGTTTTTCACACTTCCACTTGTACGTCTGTGCTGCCTTCCTTGTCAGGTGGAGGAAAGAGATCCTGGAAGAGAAAGATTTTCAAGTAAGTGAACGGGATATTTTTCAAGCACGGGGTGGTATTTCTTAGATTTATGTTTCTAACATTACTTGGGGATGAATTTAAGACAAAATAGTTGCAGTTGCAGCAAGACTGACGATGTCTTACTGTTAGCTAGAGTTGCTTCAAAGGTGCTAGACATGAAGTGATGGACTATAAGCAGTAGGAGATATATTTTCTTTGTCCATTCTGGACCAAAAAACCCCAAACCTGTTATAACTGAAGCAGACTTTGAGAAGATGATTTCTGGAGATGCTGTTACCTTGGTATTTCACAAAGAGATTTTCTGAAAAGGTAACTGGATTTTGTTTAATCTTAAATGCATCACGTAAGTATTTATTTATGGTTTCTCATATGTATGATATAACAACACACTCTAACTTCTTTCAAAAAAGCTGAGCCAGCAGTCTTTAAAAATAAGGAGGCTGTTTTTCAGTAGGAAGTAAAAGGACTTCAGAGCTGTACCTTTCAAAACCTTGCATTTATCTAGAAAAAATCATATCAGGAACTTGCTCAGGAGAGGATTTCGAGATGGTAGATAGGCAAATAATTTTCATACATCTGTAGAAGTGCAGTTATTTTGTGAACTGATGACTGTTCACTTTCATAGAAATATTTATATTGAATTTTACCCTATGCTGTACATTCAATGCCTGAAAGGCTTTAGAGTCATGTTTGGAGGTTGAATGTACTCAACCCATGCTGCAGTGCCCTCATCATTGCTTACCCCAAAGAAATGGCCCATTACCAGTTTATTTTCTCTCCATCTGACTGAACTCTGTGGCCCTGTACAAATGAACCATTGTGCAAATTTGTGTATCACTTCAATCTATTTTATCTTCCTGCATAAAACAATTTATTCAGAGTACTTTAGCTGTCATTGCCTATCTTAGCAATAAATAAATCCCTAAGGGCACAACATAACAGCTTTAATTTATATTACCTGCTAGCACTGTCAGATTTTATCAGTTTATGGTATTTTGTCAAATGGATACAAACTTTAATGTTGGTATCCATGCCTCTCAACTACAATTGCTTACTGTTGATCCTTCCTGTTAAATTTTTCCTGTTGATTTCCTGCACTGAAGAGCATAATTTCCCCCTCTCTACTCAATCTGTTATAACTATGTTTTAAGTAAATAGTCCCAAGATATAGTAATATGAAGATTTATTTTGTTCTCCTTACTGCATTCATATTTGCTTATTTATTGAATAATTAAGGCATTTCTTATGGTTTAATTTATTTACAGGCCATGTGAACTAGGCTCTAAAGCAGAAAAACCAGGAGCACACTGGAATGCATTTATCAGAGTGCTTTAGCTTGCTTACAATGTAGAAATGCAATTAGTAATTTTGAGGATCTGTAGACCAGTGCTAGTTTTATCACTATCCTATGTTATCACTAAAAGGCTTGGCCTCCTTTATTGTGTAGCATGACCTTTTAAAATGACTAAACTAAAGTGTTATCAATTCTCTAAATGATACTTCTGTCCCACAGGCAAGAATAAAATCCATTATTCTTCCTCTTTATTAATAATAACTGTACATCATTGCCTGGTCTTCAAAGTAGTAGATCAAGTAATAAGCACTTAAACTACACTGGAAAATTGGGAGGTTCAGTATGTGCTGTTGGAGTACCGATTGCATTGAATTCACATTATTGGGAAATCATAGCTGTAGTACATTTTGTACAGAAGGTTTTTGTTCCATAAACTGTATCAAGAATTATATGCATCCAGTCATTTCTTTTGTACTTTAGTGTACATTGTATCTGTCAGTCAGAGGGTCTGGTTCTTTACTACTAGCTGTGAAAACTCCTGCTCTTCTTATATTTTTCTGTTTGACCTCTTTCAGTAGAACTCCAAACCTCTCAGGAATTACATGTTAATAGTTTCCCCAGAACATCAGGTGTGACAATATGGTAGATGAGAAACCGAGCAGGTTTTGAATCAAAGACCAGTTTGAAAGCATTATTGGTTATGCAATATTTTTTCCTTATTATTTGATATCAGTGATGTTACAGACAGGACAATGATAGAAACTAGTCTTTGCTCTTAAGAGATTTTTTCCATTCTCTTAAGTATGTCTTGCTACAACTAAGCAATCAGTGAAAGTGTGAACAGATTAATTGACTTATGTACCACATGTTCTGCCTTCCATAATAACAGTTCCTAATTACAGACCCCATGCGTGTGATTCTTGTTTTGGGGTTTTTTGTGTGCATTGTTGTATAGCTGAGAAATAAATTTTGCAATGAAAGAATTTAGGGTGATTGGATACAACCTGAAAATTTCTTGATATTTGGTATTTATCTGTAAAATTAAATATTAAGTTATGAATGGAACTAAGTTTTGATGAGGGAAATAGAGGAAGAAAAATGTTCCAAGTCAGGCCTCCAAATGTTCATGTGTATTTATTATA